AGCCAGGCCCAAAAAAAGTTCAAACTTTTTAGGATAGACCTAATATATAACCCTAAACCCTAAACCCTAAACCCTAAACCCTAAACCCTAATATATAAAGCCAAAAACTTTAAAGCTCTTCCATTGGCTATCTAAGAGGCCGACCAGGGAGTGGAAGGCGGCGACCTGGGGTGGCGTTCGGCTTTACTCTGTCGGGCTGCGTTTCGCCGGTGTTAGGGCTTGAGGGTTTAGGGTTGAGGGTATAAGGGTTTAGGGTTTAGGGTTTGGGGTTTAGGGTTTAGGGTTTGGGGTTCAGGGTTCAGGGTTCAGGGTTTTTTAGCGTTTGTTTTACGAGGGTGAGAGAATGCTTGATGGGGTTTGTAGGGTGTTGCGCTTGCGGGTTTAGGTTTATTCCGGCTTGATCCGGGCCTAGAGAAGGGGTGTGACCTGAGTTGAAAAAAAAACAGGGTGCCTCTTCTTGAATAAGGGTAGTCAAAGTACAACATTCGCTGTGGCTCTCAAGCTCCCAGAGAGCCCGATACCCCTTAATTCAGGAATATACCCTTAAATCATAATATGAAGCGCCTTATAGTTTAAGGTATATTTCCTCATTTAAGGAATATTGGGCTTTCTGGGTTTACACTATAGACTGTATACTATATGCTCTATGCCCCATTACACAACCCTTTCTTGTCGGATGTTCCCTGCTCCGCCCTAGACTTAGTCAGTCTCAGGGGTACCCTAGCCCAACAAAGGCGAACCTTTAGGTATTATGGTAGGGTTATATTATACCGTTACCCAAAAAAGTTTAAACCGCGACGTCAGCGAATTTGCGAATTAGCCTCAAAAGTTTTGTGGCAAGCAAGCAAGCAACGGACGAGGCCAAACCCTAAACCCCTAGAGCCCTAAACTCTAAATCCTAACCCCCAAACCCTAAACCCTAAAACCCTAAAGCCCTAAAACCCTAAAACCTAAAACCCTAAACCCCTAAAGCCCTTAACCCTAAACCCCTAAAACCTAAAACCCTAAACCCCTCCAAACCTTACGAACTCAGCCCTGAGCAGTTGTTCAAGACATTGAGGACTCGCTGAAGCCGAAATCCCGTGCACGACGAAGTCACGGCCCCAGGTGTTAGGGCGTTTAAGGTTTAGGGTGTAGGGTTTAAGGCTTTGGGCTTAGGGTTTGGGGTTTAAGGCTTCTGGAGTTTACGAGCTTTGGGTTTAGGGTTTAGGGTTTGGGGTTTAGTGCTCCGAATATCCCCTACTTGGAGGTTCATGGGTAGTTATAAGTAGGGTTATAAGTAGGGTATCTATACTTGTAACCCACATTAAAGGAGTTATAATCCTAGCTATAACTACCCATGAACCTCCTAGTAGGCGCGAGGTCTGCGTGCAAGCTGTCGAGCGGAATGAAGCTGGTCAGAGGGAAGTCGGCCCGCAAGACTAATGTATCGGCAAGTGCACCCTAAACCCTAAACCCGAAACCCTAAACCAGAGTTTAGGGCCTAGGGTTTAGGGTTCTTGGTGTTTCGACATCGGCCGGCAGCTCGAATCGGATTCTTATCGCCCCGATTTGGGATGTCCCGGTGTATCGAGAACCTGGGTTTACGGTGTAGGGTTTAGGGTTTAGGGTTTAGGGTTTAGGGTTTAGGGTTTGGAGTTTGCGGTTTAGGGTTTAGGGTTTAGGGTTTAGGGTTTAGGGTTTTGCACCAAACCCTCAAATCCAATCCTCCAGTCCCCTTGAACGCCGGCGAAAAAACCCAAACACCTAAACCCCAAACTCAGGGGCCTTAATCATTAGAATAGGGTTTTGGGCCTCTTTATAGTATATTATAATGAGGAGCCCTTAGAATGATGTTGGTAATTATTTAGGCATCTATATTAAACCGCAGACCCTAAACCCTAAAGCCTAAACCCTAAACCCTAAACCCTAAACCCTAAACCCGAAAACCCTGAACCTCGACTTGAAGACAAGCTGCTGTCTGGGGAAGGGCGATGGGGGACACCTTCATACCCAGGGTGGTGCCTGCACAAGTCAAGGGCTTCGGGTTTAGGGTGTAGGGCTTAGGGTTTAGGGCCTCAGACGGGTCAGATGTTCGGCTTTGGGTGCCTGGGGCCTTGTAATTGTGGGGTTGCCAGAGAAGCTGGAGTGAGGGATTTTGCGAAGACAAGTTTTGAAGCTTCGGATTTGACATGGGGTTAGGGGTTTAGGGTTTAGGGTTTAGGGTGGAGCTTCGGATTTGATATGGGGTTCCATTCACAGCGGTTGCATGAGACTCCTATAACCCTCTACTCCCCTTATACAAGGTAAACAAAAACTCATTGTTGGAGATTCTCAATGCAGAAGGAGGTATCCGAAAGTAGAAACACCAAAGCCCAACCCAAGCAAAAACCAAGCTTTAGAGATTTCCAATTTAGTTTAGAATGGAAATCTCCAAAGCTGGTGTTAGTAATAAGGTATCCGACAGTGGTACACCCTAAACCCCAAATCCTTTAAAACTAACAAAGCGTATGTGCCGGAGGTTCTCCCAAAGGAGTGTGAAGTTGAGGCCGTGTGCTTTTCTGGCCCCCACACCCTATCGAGCCCGATTTGGAGGTTCACGGGTAGTTATAGGTGGGGCTATAGGTGCCCTGATATGGGTTCTAATTCTTGTTTCCCTTCTTCTAACCCTCCAAAAAACCATAAACCACCCTGAAATCCTACTTATGTAAACACCCATGAACCTCCTTGTAAAGCCATTAAGCCCTAAACCCCTGAATCCTATAAGCCCCAAACCCTAAACCCTATAAGCCCTGAACCCCAAAGCTCTTAAGCCTTGAACTAAAGAGTAGGGCTCTTGGAGTATATACTATACTATAATTATGATAAGGAACCTCAAAATAGCATTGGCAATTGATTATTGAGGTCCCTACTTGGAGGGTCGGGGGACTTAGTAACTAGTTATTTTATAGACTTATAAGTATCGTAACGCCAATTAGGATCCCTTTTAGGGTACTTCTATGTCTACTTATGACCCACTTACTAAGTCCCCCGACCCTCCAAGTATATTAGGGGAAGCCTGCTGTGGCGCCGATGGCCAGCAGAATGGAGCTGACCACCAGGTTCTCCTACACGATTTGTCGGAGGCCCGGCTTGTTTGGGAGCGTGGAGGTTTGGGTTTCCAAGCTTTGGGCCTTGGAGTCTAGGGATTTTCAGGCTTCCGTTTTCAAGGTTTGGGGTTTTGTGGTTTAGGGCTTCAGGGTTTTTATGGATTGAGCTTTCAAGGTTTGGGGCTTGGGGTGCCTGGGGTTATAGGCTTCGGGGGTGTGTGGGTTGGCCCCTGTCAGTCTCAAAATGCCTATTGATTTAGAGAGTCCTTTTGGTTTAGGGTTTAGGGTTTAGGGCTCAGGGTTCGGATTGTCGGTTTGGTTTCGGGCATGAGGTTCCAAGTCGTCGCTTGTCGTTCCAAGGCCCGGGTAACGGTCAGGACATCCTGCGCGACCAAATGAGCAGACAAAAAGCGAGCACAGCTCCTTGCAGATTCATCGAACAACAATGTAAAGCCCTAAACCCTAAACCCTACCTTTGATCTTCGACCCTCAACCCTAAACCCTAAACCCGGGCTCTTGGGGCTTATAGGACTGTCAAGGCTCATAGGCTTTTAGGGCTCAAAAGGCTGACTTTTGCCTCGTAGAATGCGCTCTTCTGGCCCTTCGCGTCTCGTTTCGGCTTTCGGGCCCAAAGGCACTTTCTTGGAGGTTCATGAGTAGCAGGTTAGGGTTTAGGGTTGATGGTTTGGGGTTTAGGGTTTAGGGTTTAGGGTTTAGGGTTTAGGGTTTAGGATTTAGGATTTAGGGTTTAGGGTTTAGGGTTTAGGGTTAATGTAGGGACCCTAATTGGAGGTTCATGAGTAGCTATAAGTGGGGTTATAAGTGGGGTTACTATACTTATGACCCGTATTAGGGGACGTATAACCCCATTTATAACTACATACCCATGGAACCTCGAATTGGGGTTTGATACCAGAAACCCCACCCATGTACATAAAGCAGTGGGCTGTCGCAAAAGCACGGGTCTGTTGCGGAATCCTTACTGGTAGCCGAGTCATACTGGCGCGGGAAAGGTGCCTGATTTGGAAACCCTTAAACCCTAAACCCTGAATCCTTAAACCCTAAAGTACATGCAGCTGCAAGGAAGCTCCGTCCACAGCGACCTAGAAACACCAAAAACCTGGCAGAATCGCTCTGCACCCGAAGCCCTCAACCCTAAACCCGAAACCTCATACCTGCAATCAGAGCCCTAAACTCGAAACCCTCAACACTAAACCCGAAAAGCCCTAAACCCGAAACCATGAAGCATGAACCCTAGGCCCTAAGCCCTAAACCCGAAACCCTTAACCCTAAACTCGAAACCCTCAATTGAAGTAACTTTTGGGGTGTCTCTTGCGGGACCCGCGTCCTCAGAAAGATCCACCATCGTGGCCACCATCGCACCGAATACTCCCACAATTCCTGGGCTTTCCACAGGGGGGAACTCTCAGGGCTTCGGGATATCGAGCTTTGAAGTCCTTAACTCTAAAACCCAAATTCTAACATAGGGTTTAGGGTTTAGGGTTTAGGGTTTAGGGTTTAGGGTTTAGGGTTTAGGGTTTAGGGTTTAGGGTTTAGGGGATAATTACCAATATTATCCCTTAGGGTTCCTTATTATGATTATACTAAAAAGGAGCCCAAAGGCCTATTCCAATTATTGAGGCCCCTACATTACACCCCAAACCTTATAAGTCCCAAACCTTGAACCCTAAACCCTGAACCCCAAACCGGTCTTAAAGGTTGCAGGTGTTGGGGAGGAAAGGGTTCGGGGATTTTAGGGTTTAGGATTTAGGGTTTTCAGTAGCCCCTACATAATGAGGGTGCCATTTTCCCTACTATTCGGTGTTAATCAAGGGGCCCTCACATGCACTTGGCAAAAAGGTATTACCCAGGAATCTGGAGAATAAAGGTTCTGGGGTTCCGGGTTTCTCCCCTAAACCCTCAACCCTAAACCCTAAACTAAAACCTAAATCCTAAACCCTAAACCCAAATCCTAAACCCAAACCCTAAACCCCCAACCCCAAACCCTAAACCACAAACCCCAAAGCCTAAACCCCAAACCCCAAACCCTAAACCCTGAACCCCAACCCCTAAACCTTAAACCACAAACCCTAAACCGCAAACCCTAACCCCAAACCCCAAACCCTCAACCCTAAACCGCAACCCTAAACCCTAAACCCTATACCCTAAAGCGCAAACCCTAAACCCGAAAAATTAGTCCTGGGCTTTACAAGGGCGGAGCACAGGGCTTCGGGACTTCCTGTAGCCGAAAAGACTTACCTTTGTAGGGTTTAGGGTTTAGGGTTTAGCGTTTAGGGTTTAGCGTTTAGGGCTTTAGCGTTTAGGGCTTTAGGGTTCAGCGTTTAGGGTTGTAGGGTTTAGGGTTAAGGGTTTAGGGTTTGGCGTTTAGTTGCTTATGAGGGCTTCTATATACAGGTCCCTAAAAAGGGTAGGTCTTTTGGACCACGGGTTAAGTTTGAAGACTTTAATATTTTACGTCTTAGGGCTCTTAAGGCGTTTTGGTCAGTTTAACGTTGCAGCTTTGCCTAAACCCTAAACCCTAAACCCTAAACCCTAAACCCTGAGCCCTAAGCCTCGGGGTTGAGGGCTTTGTAGGTTTCAGGGTCCAAGGCTCGCCGAACTGAGCTTCGAAGGCTGTAAAGGCTTCAGGGTGTAGTTACCCTAAACCCTAAACCCTAAACCCTAAACCCCAAACCCCAAACCCCAAACCCTAAACCCTGAACCCTAAACCCTAAACGGACCTCAACCCTTGTACGTCCCAAGGCTCCGAACTTGCAGCCCATGTTAGCCGTGGACATCGTGGCGAGTCCGCCGATGGCGGCCACGCAGAGCAGGGCAGAGACGGTGGTGACGGTCTGGGGTTTCAGGCTTTAGGGTTTAGGGGTTTAGGGTTTAGGGTTTAGGGTTTCAGGCTTTAGGGTCTAGGGTCTCATGCTTTTTGATTTTAACGGACATTAAACCCCTAAATCCTAAACCCTAAGTTCAGCGCCCTTAACCCAAAGCCCTCAGTGTGTTTAAAGGGTTCCCTAGGAGCCTTCAATCACCCGTAGCATCAACATAGCCCAACAGCCTTCGGGCCCAAAAGCCTTAAAACAGGAGCCCTTTGGGGGTAAGGGTTACTTGGAGGCCCAGGGGACCTAGTAAGTCGGTTGTAGGTAGGGTTATAATTGGGGTAATTCCAGTTATGGTACTTATGACTCTACTTATAACCTACTTACTAAGTCCCTGGGCCTCCAAGTAACCCTTACCCTCAGCATCAACATAGCCCAACAGCCTTATACAGTAGGGTCTTTGGGC